ACTGATAAACATAAGAAGACAACACGACCGTCTGGCGCTTTATTAGTTGTGTGGCGGTTGTCTGACTGGATGTCGTCGAGACAAACCTTCTGAGAAAATCCTACATGTTGGTTAGAGTTGAGAAACACAGTAGCAATTATGGGGCAATAAATAAATAAATAAATAGTTTATTCTCGTCATTGCGAGGCACACCATCAAGGTCGTGATCATGGTAATACGGCCATGTATGATCGGCAATTGCACAAATTACTACATGTTGACAAATAGCATAGGAATGTATGTGTCTGTTGACTTGTAAAAGTATGTTTATGTCTGTATTTGGAAGTGGCCATGTTGTGTGATTAGGTAAATGGGACTCAGTGTGTGTTTTGTTCGTTGGGTTTGCCATCAAAGGGGGAAATCAATGGAAAGCTTCGAATCGGATGACCTTCGTAATGTGTGAATGATCCTCCGGAAAAGGGAAGAGGTGATGACTTTATTTAGTGGCGAGTCACATACGCCACGTCACAGTGTTGTTAAACGGATATCTGTGGTTTTTTATAGGGAGAACGCTTGCCAGGTGAAATCTCACCACATCCTGGAACACTGCTGCCGACCCATTTGCTGGAACGGGATTTACCCGAACCACCCAGCTGGCACCACGGGGAGGTTGTTCAGCTAGTCAGCCAAATGTATGAAAAGGCAAAAGCGAAGTAAAATAAAGTAACCATAGTATGGTTCTGTATCTTATATTATCTACTAACGACCACATGGGGTCGGAGGAAACACTAAGCAGGATGGCGATTAATAAGGGATCTCATAACACAAATGCCACTGAAGTTTGTCCTCCGACATGTCAACCAGTGTATCCAATCAAACTTTTCCTCGCCTTTCGGATCAGAACCAAGGAATCGGGAGGCTCAAACCGAGGTCAACTTCGTAGTAAGGGCCTACATTCCTCTTGGCCAAGCCATAGACTATCCTCCATCTCTTCCATCCAGACGCCGGTCGCAGAAAGAACGCAGTCCTGATAGCTGGCGTGCTAACGTGCCTAAAGCAAGCCCATCTGTCAGAGACAGGTGTTTGAAAAACGGTTTTGAAAGGATTTGTTTCTCTTCCTGAGCCACTAACAAGGCACTATACACAATCCCAGTTCACACGGTGTTGTAAAGAAATGTAAGCCAAGATGTGTAGCTACTCTTGGTTAAGAATAACTAAACTCTTTTGACTATCCGTCTACAAAACAAAGTTGCACATCCGCACTGCAGAATTGAGCGGACGGCAACAGTCTAGACTGTACGCATCAAGGCAAGAATAATTCTGCGTCGGCCCCACTGATTTCCAGGATTAACAAGCTCAGCTTGAGATTTTGTATTATGACGTGTGATCTTATCTATACTTCAACAGACGCTGATACTGCTGCCAGGTTAGTTGAATTTCTGAACGACTCCTAACTATTCATTACCAATGTTCAGCGCAGTGGGCGGCCCCTGCAAGTCTTGGAGGGAAGGTTTGCGAATAGAGGGTTAAACGTACGCCATGAAATAGATGAAAGCCAACATTTGGCATATCTGTACCTTGTCACAGCTTGGGGTGATCTCATCGGTACGCCCCCAGTCACTCATTCGCTCATCTTACAGTAGCTCTACACTTACTACGTTGAATAAAGTGAACGCAGTTTCCATATATTTGTCACTAGTTAAGATAGAATGAAAGTCCATGATAAATATCATTTTCTCACTGCGCCATCTTTTTTCATTTCTCCCTAGTTACACGTATGGAGCGCTTGTTTTATTTCGTAGACATATTTTCTAAATACATATCCTCAAAGCGCGATTAGCTTCACCGAAGTGAAAATAACTTGGATGTCAAGGAAGAAAACCAGTGTGGGTCGCCAGTATATCGGGCGGTAATCCGCCGACTGGCATAAACTGTAGACGTAATTAGCAGATTAGTAATTGCGACAAAACCTGGCTTGCCTTTCATGCATCTGGCTTGAACAAATGCCAGTGAGAGTATGTAGAATGAGAAAAGTAAGTAACGTGCAGCTAGTAAAAATCAGGCTAATATTCTATGACTGCAGCAATCTTTACCCGAATTCCTGTTGAGGAGCTACTGCATGCTGCTGGGACAGTTTCATTCACCCTCAGATTTACATATATACGATATCGGTCCTCTACCAGAGCTGGCCCACGAATCCGATGGGGGTCGGAGGAAGCTCCTCTGGTCCTCTGGCATTAGTCCAATTTAAAAGTCTGATTTCTTGTTGGACATCCGCGCGAGAAGCATCATCACTAGGGATGGTTACGAAAGCAGGCGTCCACTAATCAGCGGCGAATCTGATACATACAACTGATTAAGCTGCATTTCAAGTTCTTTGGCCGACACTTCAAGCGGTGCTGGATGAGATCCCCTGGCTTCCTGGTCTCTCTTCATGCCAGCATACGGTCCTTCTCAGAGGTCATTGTATATCAATTTGTGTTCGCGTCCATAAGCTCCAAAGACTGCGTATGGCGCGGAGGTCAGGGTTGGATAGCAGATTGCTGCATGAAGATAAAACCGCTGCTGGTAGCATCTGGTTAAGGTGTAACAAGTAACCTTCGACTGTGTTTTGTGAGCCCATGATTTGATTTGCATTAAGTATGCGAAATTTGCTGAGTTGTCGGTGATCTAGGTAATACACAAAACTGCACCTTCATGATCATGCCTCTAAAGGCGTGCGTTGTATATTCGAGAATAAAACTTTACTTATTTATTTATCTGTATTTTCCAGTTGCAAGTGCCACGAGCTGGCAAGTTCGCAATTATGGTCCACCGTAGCTCACCCGAAGTAGCCGTTCAGTGTCCACTCAAATTTCTCAGACCTCGCAAAGATTTTGAACGCATACTATTAAACGGTAACTGATCGAAAGGTGAACTCTTTGCGTCCATGACTGGTTCGAAGCTGCAGGGCACCAAATAACCTTGCGGTGGATGCCATGTCGGAAGTTAGCGTTTTCTAGATAGACGAGCATCTTTGCACAAATGTTACAACCACTTTAGCGTTATCATTAGATGAACCTATAGCGCGTCGATCGCCAGTAGACAGCTTTCCAACTTAGGCATTCAGATCACTAGTTTGCACAATAGTATCGGCACTATTTTGTGACGTAGGAACGCTGGTGACAGTAGTTAGTTTGCGTGTCAGAACTACATTTTGTGGAGGCGTACGTAGCAATCACAAACAGACAACTCTCCTCAAGACTGATTTTGAAACTTTTAACAATTCAACTAAGCTGAGGGCACACATCTGGGTGCTGTTCAGGATGTACTTTAGCAGAGAAAATTCAGCCAAGTGACGCAGAGCGATACCCCTACCACTTTGACTGGCATATGAAGCTTCATTATCCTCGAATAGGCCTATTGACAAAGGGTTGGCAATGTCGCATGTGTGGGATCATACTAAAGCAGAGCTCAAGTCCTGCATGACACTTGCAGCTGCGAAAGGAACAGAATCCATAAATTCCCCAGCTTCTGGGTAGGTGCTGCCTGTTGACCGAGTTGCAACTAATTCGTAAGTTGTGCCATGTCAGTGTTCTCAAGGATAAAGGGATTGCAAATAAACGGATGAACTCACATTGTCCGCCTCGTTAGATATGAATCTTTAGATTAGGCCGAAGTAACACCCTGCGACTGCGTTTGAGTCGGACATAAAAAGCAAACGACCATGGAAGCAAGCAGGACGGAAGCTAAGTACTCGGAGATTGAAAACAGTGAAATAAAAGGGAAGATGGGATGGGATAATAAGTATGAATGAGCGTAAAAGGCGAAACAAGGGAATGAGGATAGCTGCGCCGTAGCCTGTTCACTTCTGTCCACCTAGTTCGATGCTGCGGACAGTGCGGTGTTGATTATCTTCTGCGACGGCCAGAGCATCAAGATATTGTGTGAGGAGGTTTTAAGTTTATTACACGCGCAACCCACTAACTGGTAGCTCATGTCTAGACAGGAGAACCGCCAGGACTCTCAAACAGGCCTTGGTTCAAGTACCTGACCGAAGATCAGCAGGAGTCTAGCAGGGAGGCACACGGAACCCACGTTAAGTAGTAAGAGCTACTCTGACTCCAGCTCCCAACCTGGAGGACTGGGTAGTTTATTCCGTCTGGTTGAGAGCCATTGACTACTGTAGTATGTGTGCTTCTGGAGGTGATGAAGCACTTCCAAGCGTAGATAACTCGACGATTGTGACACACGTAGCTACTCATTACAGAAGGGTACTATCTCGTTGCGATAGTTCAACTAACTGATTGTTAAGAAGTTGCTGCATAATTTGATAAAAATGTCGATTTTAAGAATCCATGCATATTCAGAAATGTAATTTTGATCTGACTATGGCAATGTCAACAGCTATTTTCATACGAAGCAGTCCATTCAAGAGATTATGTTGCGTCTTCGACATAAAAGTTAATAAGATATTTAAATGGTTGATTAGTTGCAACCACCGTACACCGGTAAAATGGATCTATGTACCAAAGCTGCTATTATACTAACAAACGCTGAGCAAATAAATGAAATGAGGCTAAATTAAGGCTCAATTATTAACTGACAACTCTGGACTTAGGAAAAGCGTGGTTGCGTGAAGCTTTACTATAAAATTTACAGTTACCAAAAGTACGACGCCACGTGATGTGCACAACGCTTGGTAATGCTAACGTTACTTTTGCTCCTAATGCAAATGCGCCGCAGCGCAATTTTCACTGTACGTTTTCGCGTCATCCCGTGATTAGCTAGTAACAATGCCCACGCTAGCGATTTATGCACATCAACTCATCTATAAATTAGCTAGGAAATACTTAAAATAGGACCTATTAACCCTTTGTTGTTGCCTCTAGGTAGTACGTAAAATCGATTGGCTTTACATTTGTGAAGGGCAGTCCTTACTGCTAACTTAGATCTAAGATTAACGTTTAAAATGTATACAAGTCCCATTATGCCGTTTGCAGAACTTACTGCTGATCTGGATAATTGTTTTCTGATTTCAGCGAAGCCATCAGCTGGGGTACAGCACAGAATCTGTAAGACCCAATCAAATTAGAGGTAACTATGGTTTAACTGACAACAACTTATTTAGGTTCCCCAATGCACACGCCAGCAAATTCTGTACAACACGTTGGCTCTACGCATCAACAAGTTACGCAGTTGCTCTCGTCGACATCCTCTGCAAGATGCACTTGCCAAAACTACTCCTTCAGAACCGTTCAGACTCCAAGGATTTTGCACTGCACAAGGTGTATTTATCTGCATAGCCCACCCCCATCTTATTAATAGAAATACGAAAGGTTTGTGCCTAAAGTATTTTGTACGGCATTGGGTGTGTTACCCAAAATGAGACTGTTAGTCTGCCATTTGGAGGCATATACATTAGAATAAACGGTAACATTTTCGAAGAATTACGTTTTCTCTTTTACTAAACGTCAGTTAGCTACTGAAAGCACTCGAGGGGTTAGATTAAAGATAAATACGCCAACATATATTTTATGAAGTTAACATTTTAAACCATTTCTTAATTCCCGATAAAATGGCGTAAACTGTCCACTTGTGAACAGTCCTTTTAATTGCTTGTCAAGTAAAGTTTGCTGTTGAGGTTTTCATGTGCTAATGTTGTTGCAAGGAACTGAAGCTGCCTGCCCTTCTGTTCTCTTCGTGCAACTACGAAAGGAAATGAAATCAGTAATTTCCTTAAATTCATACACCAAAACATGTTACCAATGGCAAAGACGAATAGGCTGTATTTGTTCTATGTGTTTAGAAATGAGCATATATTTGTGCCAAACTTTAAGAGGTATTAGGTAGTTGGACAAGCTATAGAATTGCAGCGATTTACCGAGCTTAATAACTTGACATATGCGTTCTGCAAATGATGAGTGCAACAGCAGGAACGATTTGTTGCCTTTCTAATGCTTATAGCTTGAAGCTCATAAATAATATTGACAAATGATAGTGTGTCAGTTGTTCCGCAATTAATGTGTGCACAAAGGTTAGAAAACTTATGTAAATTTACTGTGTATCACAAGATATCTGCAGCTAGTTAGTTATTCACCACCACAATGGGAAAATGTGAACCGATTATTATAGTAAATACGCTTAAAAACATTTAGGTGGAAGTTTTCACCGAGGACAACATTACTTCTTTTCCTCATAATCTCTGTGGTAGGTTAACCTTAGTTTCATGCGGTGTAGATGAACAAGGACAGTAAAATGTATTTATTCATTATATATTTCCATAGACATATATTATCAGGAAACATAACCTCCGTTTGTTAAGCGTCCATTCTTTTGAGCAGAAACAGTAGTTACTTTACCTGGTTTAAGTTTATAAACTAACGGTATTTACTCCAGATAATATAACGTCTGGTAGACACTCAGTTAAAAAGGCTTTTGTGCTATAACCCAAACTTGAATGCCTTCTTTTTCGCAAGCGTTCATTATTTGGATCATAGATAACACTTTTCTAATAGGTTTGATGACACGAGTTGTGGTATCTATAGCAGCCTGAAAGTTTAGCTTTGTTTTTTCCCTACACTTTTATTGCAGTTAGACTGTTCTTGTTTTATTGCTTCCCAGACTGCGATCATATCTACCTACAACCGTTACTACGCGCTTCCGCTCTTTGAATCACTGTACTGTCATTCGCTCCTTCACGTCTCCTTCTAGATCCACTGAATATATTCCATCGTAAATAACTAAATTTCCTTTTTGTTACTGAGACTTGCTCAGGTGCCAAATTCTGGACTTGTATTTAAAATCCTATATTTTATTTAAAAGTCACCTGTTTGTCAATAAGTATTTAGAAATTAGGGCCAGTTGGGCTGTAGGTTGCTTTTAATAACACTCAGCCATCGAATTCCAAGATGTTGACTCAACACCTAACGCAACAGTGACCCAATTACAATTTGCACGTTTGACTTTATGTTTGACTTTATACGAACGCGTTGCGGAACATAGCGCTCTATAGCGATAGCTAGTTTTGCTTCCGCCCTAGCTGCATTACTGTGGAACACACTGAAGTAGCCATTTGAGTGACCAGCAACAGTGCAAATTTAAATTCCCCTCTTTGGAGGAAATGTTAATGACGATTTACCCCTCTGTTGCAGCATCCAAGTTCCACGGGATTCCTTAAATTGTGTGAATTTGGACAGTCTTTTAGAGTCGAAGGTTACAGTTGATGCCACCTACACTGTTGAATTTCAATAACGCAACCGCTTAGCAACAACAAGTTCGGCTTAGAGGAAGGCATATTTCCAATAACCGTTTGCGTGCGGATGGTTAAATTTAACAATTACAACACAACACGTGAAAACAGGTGCAAACAAAGCCACCACAGTTCAAACAAAGTGTAGAACAATGCTACACTTCAGAAAGTCCGCTTGCTTGTTCAGCCGATGCAGTCCTTCCTATGAGTGTCAACGGCAGCAGCCAGCTCTGTAACAAGAAGCAGCAGTAATTATGTTTGTTGTTTATTAGGGTTATCTGCGCGTTTACATACCAGTATACCAGCACAGTCCTTAGAAATTTACAGCTTAAACGCCCGCAGCTTAGTGTTATTTCACACCATCCTTTAAGTAACGAAAAAAGTGTTAACCCATGTCGGTTGCTTTCCAGTACCCCGCAGTCGTATCTCCGTCAGCAACATGTTGCCTTTGTAATTCGGCAGAATAATGGAAAGGGGTATTAGTTGTTGGTTCATACTATGAACTAAGCCGTTTTCAATTGCTTAATGTAACAATTGTTTCTTACGGACAGAAACAAGCGTACAACAAGTCCTTTTTGATGGTCATGATGGGATTCACTAGACGGAAAAGAAAATCTGGCCAATACATGGAAATAACTGCGACCAATCGACCATAGTGTACGCAATAAAACATTCTTAGAAGAGACAATACGGATTATATGAGAAAGTGCTTTTGTACATTCTGCTAGTTAGGTTATATCGTCTCAATATATACACAAATATTACTTCGCCGTTTAGGTGGCTTGGGGCAATGTCAAGAGGTCTATTGAACTTAGATACTGTGAGAGCAGTGGAACAATGGCTTATAACATGTACTATGGTATATGCATATCAGATTCTGTGGACTGGTACAGGGGCGATTTGCGGAAACAACGAGTACTCATCCAAACCAACTACTATGCGCAAAACAGATGTGACAGGACAACGGTAACATGACAAGTAGGATGGTGCAATTGGCTATTGACATGTAGGAGTCGACGCGGTCTACCTGGGTTGCTCAAACGTATTCGACCATTTAGATCATCACATTCTACTGCATAAACTCCGGAAATATGGAATCGACGACCCCGTTCTGGGCTGGATAGGTGAGTTTCTCGTTCAGCGTCACCTAATGTGAGGGTTTGCAACACTCTATCGGAACCAATCGAAGTTCAGTTCGGCGTACCTCATGGCCCGTTACTCGGACCCCGCCTGTTCCTGATCTTCATAAATGACCTCGCGAGTGTGCTATCTTCAACTCTATGCTATGTGCCGATGATCTAAAGATACGGTTTGCTATAGCTACAGTGGAGGACTACATAACCTTACAGGTTGACTTAAACGAAGCTCACACATGGTCCGACAAGAGCACGCTGTATTTTAACGCCACCAAATGCAAAATTCTCCGCATACGGCATCAGAATATTTGCAACTACCCCTAGGAGCAAAATATTAGAGCGGACTCCTCATGAGTACGACCTCGGCATACTTGTTCAAGATGACCCCGGTTGATTGAGGCAGACTGAAAAGTCATCAAAAAAGCAAACCAGCACTTCGGCTTTCTTCGTAGAGCTTTCGGAAAATTGGATGCCTCCGTTTTTCCGAAAATGCTTGGTGTGTACGTGAGGCCACACGCGGAGTACGCTATTCAAGCGTGGCAACCCTAGCTGAAGCACCATCTCACCGCGCTCGATACTGCACAACGTAGGGCGACAAAGCACGTCAGAGGTTGTTCAGCCTTCTTTACCCACTCAGCCTGAGAACACACAAAAAATATACAGTGGACGTTATCAGTGTCTAAGGGGCGACCACATAATGGCATACCAGATCTTTCGTAACCCAACCACACATGCCATTCTAGTTTGAAACTCAGTCAAAACACATCTCTAAGGGGTCATCAATTTCAGTTGGGCCCACACTACAGCGGGTTGGAATGTCCACGAAACTTTTTCTCCTTCCCAGTGTCACAGCCAGGGAACGCCCTTTCGGAACAGGTACTTAATGCCCTCACCTTATTCGTTTTCAAAAAAAAGCCTGGACGATAAGCTGACGCATTTACACCACGTGAAATAGCCCGATGACCATAAGATGCTGATATTAAGGCATCTCAAACAGTAGACGGTGTCATATCCCTACCTGCGCATGAGTTACTCCAAACCCCTTGGTAAGTTCCTGTACTTCACGTATTCCTTTATCGGCATTGTATTTTATTTGTTTATAATTATCAATCTAACCATCTACGGACAGCCAAGGATTCGCTTTTACACCGGTCGTTGCTTCAAAGCAAAGTAACACATCGCTAATGCCACATTTCTTGTAAAGAACAAACTATAGTCCACTCGTTGGAATAAATTTCCCTTACTCAACGTGCAGCATGGTTCAAAAGAAGTTGGCACTGGACCATCTTCCTCAATACTGTATTCATGCAATGCAAGGAAGAATAATGAATGTGTTGTTCAGACACTAAAAATGGCTAAAGCAAAAGCAAAAACAGCTGGGTTCTCTATGGTTCGGAAGCTTTTAAGAGAGAAGTAAACGCCCCGAAAATCAAGACGAGCTTGCTGCTACAAACAAATATTAAGGATGTACGTTCTGTTTTAGTCTTTGAGCTCAGTTTACGGACGTGGCCCAACACGTGGCTAGGATCACCCAGAATTTGGTATGCCATTTTTTCGTCCGCATCCAGTCTTCGGTGGCGTCCGCCAACTAGGGCGGCCTCACCAACTGTTGTTGATATGCACGGTGACACGCCACCCTTGACGCTGAAAACTTTGATATCAGTACTAGGGATAATGTATTTCGGTTTTTGATTATCAGTGGACCCATTACTTTTTAGTCCAGATGGTGGCATTTTCTCCATCACCCCTTACAACAACTCGGACATGTATTTACCTTCGCCTCTTAGTCAACCTCGGCTTGCTTGAAATCTTTGAGGTTAAAAGCATTTGTGGACAGCGTAGCTACTTTTCAAGTATACGCTAAGAGCGGGCTGCTCGCGGTTTGCATTTTTCCAAAAGAGAAGACAGTTCACACGACGTCTATAAGCTGTTCAACTTCAGGACCCACTACAGAAAGATTTATTTTATGGGCAATGAAGAATCGATGTATTACGTTCCGTATTTCGAATTGTTATTCTGATGATATTTGCTGCTCAAAATCGGTGCCATTTTATTGTCATAATCTTGAAATAAAATAATTTGTACGGTTTCGATGTAGTTCATTTACTCGTGCGATTGCAGAATGTTAGTACGCGTTCCTAATAACAGTGCGTAAATAAATCTTTAATATTCTCTGTTTTTCGGTGTGTTACTTGCGTTTCGGCTTCAACAAATACAAACTAACTGAATGCTGAATACTGGTTCGAAGCAGCGAGTAGAAACTTTCTCTGTGTAGCTGCATCATTCGTCGCTCTTGGACATTATACTCCTTATTTATCGTT